GTAGTCTCTTTCATATGTATCAACAACAAGATACTGAGGTGTTGGTATTTCTGAAACCAGTTTCTTACTAGGCACTGGAGGCTGCACCTGATAATGCGAATACAAGAAACTTTTTAATCATCACTCTAGAACTTCACATCCAAACCGATTCACCGAGAAAAGAAAAAAAAAGAAGTTCACCTCATTGTCAACAACCTCTACGGCGGATATACGCAGCAACTGAGAATTTCTAGTAATGGAAGAAGGATTCTCTTCATCTTCAAAGTCTTTAAAAGACTTTAAAATCGGAAGCTTCTTGTGTATGTCCAATGGACGGGGTCGAAAAGATAGCCTACTCATTTCACAATCTTGCTTCCTCTCTACTAAACAATATCTATATAGCAATTTGAGTAGGAAGACCTCATAAACGCTTTCGTCTAATTGCTACAATGAGTCAGGAAGAAAGTAGAGTCTGCAAATGAAAAGAAACAACAGAAACCGCACAGTTTCAAAATCCCAGAACCCCAAACTCGTAAATGTGAACAATTTCAGTGTAACATAGGGCAAATTAACGAATGAGATGTGATGTACTTACAAGGCGAGTTTTCTAGGGTTTGTTCTCTCTTCCGGAAGAATTGTACAGGCTAATCAAAAAAATGGGGTTTAGTTCTCTTTTTCGAGATTACCCAGATTCCGAGAAACGTTGAAACTTAAGGAAGATAGAAGCTTTATAAATGTCGTAAAGCGAATTGAAAATCTCACTCGAGTCTGGACAATTGGGGAAGTAAAATAGGTCGAGCGAGATTCACTAATCTCGATTAACAGACAAGACAAACAGTTGAACCGAGTAGGGAAAATATTTGGTAATAAGCTTCGGTTATAACTTAGTATATAGGAAAAAACTGCAGCAACAAAACATAAAACTTCAAATTTCAAGCATTACCGCGAGGTTGGATTGGAACATGGATCTAGCTAAAATGTTTTTCCAGAAATTTTAGATGTAATAAACTAACACTTTAGCTTTCTCGTTAACCGGTCTTCTTTGTAGCTTTCACATTACATAGTTTTGGGTTTCTCAGAGAAAAACCATAACATCACAGTACACAAGATCTACGGATTCTATTTACAGAGAAGGTTTCAAGCTCTCAGGTCCCTTTCTTCTTCATTAGCACCTTAAAGCTTGTTTCCTTTTTAAGCTATTCGTTCATATCTTCGTCCGTTTCCATTCTCAGAAAGAACAAGCCATTAAGTCCTTGTTGTTGATCTTGCCATTGTTGTTTATGTCTTCTTGGGTCAAGTCGATGTTCTTCGAGATTGTTTCTTGGTTAACTTGAAAGGACTCCAGCTTTTTCTGCGTTTTGATGTTTCACAGAAGAGACCGGAAGCTAGAGCTTGTTGAAGCCATAATTCAAACTCTTCCTCATCCTCGTCCATCATCTCCACATCAAGATCCCACGGGAACCTGCTCGAGTTTGATCTCTGTGTTGCCTTTTCTAGACCGACCATGTTTACATGGAAACTTGGCCTATGTGTGTTTGGTCTACACGCCATTCCCTTCAATGGAAATGAAGTATACATATCATCATGTTCACATGCAGTAACACAAAAGTTTTAAAGTTATTCTTAAATCTCTTGGTGCAAAGAAACCTTTCGATTTTTGAGCCATCTTAGTCTAGCTTATTCTAAACAGATAGTTATAGCATTGGTTACTGGTATAGAATGAGAATATACCAACCTGACAAATAGCCCATTCTGAGACATCAAAGACTTTGCCCTCCGCGCAAACAAAAGCTCGTGGTATTTCAATCTACAGGACATATATAAACGATTAATTCATCATTACCAATAAACAAAAGTAGGACAAAAGAACTGAAAGCCAAACCTTATGTGCTTTCTCGAATACCAGAGTCCCTTTGTGTTCAACCCATCCGTCACCATCTTTGGCTTGATGATACTGACCACACTCCTATAATTTTAATGGAAGCAATAACCATTTAACAAATTAGATGTTCTGAGAAGGAACTTGAAGTCAAAATGCTCTGTAAGGAGAAGTGTAAGTTAGCTAACCTGACACCATCTGGCCTTTGCCTTACTCCTGTTGGTACATACCCAAATGTGTGAATTCCCGCATTTCGTACAGTGTATGCGCCTTGACTCTTCTGATCGATAATCAGCACTATTCTGGAGAAATCAGAAAAAAAATTCATCAACTTTTATAAGAAAACAATAGAACAACACATGACGCATTCAAAATCTCACAAATCTACTAACCTGATGCGAATGCGCGGACTGACAGACACTCCTGGTTCTACATTCTTCCTTCTTTAACAGCTCATCATAATCTCTTCTTTTAACAGAATCGGCAAGAACCTGCAAATTCAACCTACCATGTCTCAATATTCAAAATAGAAATAAATATCGTGAAATCCAAGCTGAATATTACCAAGCATGAATCCATCTTTCAACAATTACCTCGTAAGCACTTTGAAGTTTCTTGAATGATTCACTTGCCAAAGGACTTCCCATATTCTTATCTGGATGAACCAGCATTGCCTAAAAAAGGGAAAACACAGCACATAAAATTAGAACCAACTTAATTCACCAGAGAGATAGCTAACAAGCCAAGAAAACAGACCTTCTTTCTATACTCTTTCTTTAGCAATGCAGCATCGATCTTTTTAAACAGAGGGAGCCCCAATGCTTCGTAGTGATTCAAACTATCAAGAATTCTTTTCATCTCATCAGCTGAATCTGTTTCTATTTTGACTACCTTAACACTAGAAATCTCCTTCATGTTACTGACAACAGTTGACGGTGATGCTGGCTTAGTGGACGACTTATCTTCATGAACCTTTTTCTCCGGTTCTTCAACAGGAACAGAAGAATACTCAAACTCTCCTGGAAACTGTTCCTCTATTACAGTTTCAGGTTTCGTCGGCTCCTCCGCTTGTGTTTTTTCACTAACAGTATCACACCATTGAAGAAGACAAATAAATATATCGTTGGACAAGAATGCAAGATTCATCGAGAGAATAACTCCAGGCCATCCAAGTCTGGCTTTGACACAGTACATAGCGTACATCGTCGCCATAAGAACCACCACCCGCGCGTGATTCAAAGAGAACAAATAACCTGATTCAAACAACAACAGACATTAACACTAGATGAACGCTTCATTAGCTTTAACCAAAATGGAAAAGAGACAAAAATAAGACTTTCTGGAAAGAAAACTGACACTCACCTCCAACTATAAATAATGTTCCGGTGATCCAAAAATTAGCGTACATCCACAAAATCAAAATTCCAAATAGTCCTACAATGAAAATCCCAGGAGTGCGACCTAAGTACAAGACAACAGCACCAGCAGCTGCCTGCGATAGTAAATCAAATATAGGTGAGACTCAACGCAATTATGAATAACTCAATACCACCTGACAAGTGAAACACAACAACCAAATTTCCAAGTTAAATGTAAACTGTAACGAAAATCTCAAAACCATTTGTCGGAAATAACTTCTAAGATAAAAATCTTCGAGATAGTTTTCAATATTAGTTTTTCCTCATACAACCAAGGCAAATATCAGATCTGCGTGGCAGTCAATCTCACCACAACCAGAAATCTACACTAATAAAAAAATCTAAAACGCAGAATCAAGAATTTTAAAAAAGGGGTCTAGAGGCCTTACCATACCGAGGAGTACATAAACCAAGCAAGATATTGAAGTTAGGCTAAGGAAGCAACTCCACATTATGAGGAGCAAAGCAGCTGAACCAAATTTAGCACTGGACTGGAAACCCCTCAAAATGCAGTCTTTCCAATAAACAAACGATAAACTAAGTAACCCTAATAGCTTCCCACATCCACTGCACACTAGTGGCCAGTGACGCTCTGCCAAAGCTTCTGTCTTTTCCCCAAAACATTGCGTTGCAGCACAAACCCACGAGCACAAATGTTTCTGAGACTGCAACCATTTCCAACCTTGCTTAACCAATCCTATATCCTCCATAACTAGATAAAATAATCAACCCCTAAATTCTTCCTCCAATGCTCAGGCAAATTGATAGCAGCAAGAAGAACGGAATTGAAGAGCCTGGAATCTCGAGAAAACTAGCTTCTCAGCCATTGTGTTGATTGGACAATCAGACACTCAAAATTTCGTAGCTTATTCAACTGAAAGAGATAGATGATACAACAAGGGATTAGCAGAAGCAAGGAGATAAAAGACTGCAAATCCGGCTTTAAGCTTATTCGTTCAACGCATATCCCTTCACATACAAGTTTCCCCAGCAAAGAAGAAACATACAAAAAGAAAAGCAATCTTCAGAATATCCGAATCAAACAGAATCTTCCAATTTCTGCTTCAGTAAACACAAAACCCTAAATTACCCAACAACAATCCAGTTCTAGTACAACATAGCCTCAAATTCAGATCCGAGAAACTTAATCAATCGCAGAATCTTCCAGCGGAACAACGCAGACCCAGAAAAGAAAATAGCTTCGTTAGAGCATCACACCGCACCGACAAGCATTTCACCGCTTTGGTATGTATAGCAGAGAGAGAGAGAGTGAAGAAAAAGGAAGAAGCAATGAGCTTTAGTTAAAGTAAATTGGTTACAGTAAAGATAAGCTCGGGAAACATGAAATCCCAAAAAGAGCTCATGACAAAAAAAAGAGAGAAGCTTTTAAAAGATTCAAAAAAGTTCTTGGAGGAGAGAAAGAGAGAACACGGTGGCGTATAGAGACGGGGATTAGAGACGACGGCAACACTCAAAATATTTTAACCTTTAGTTCTTTTACTTCTTAGCGAATTGGATTAAGTGACCCATAATTATTAATTTACCGGAATTTTCTGGGTCCGACAGCCTAACAGAACCGGATCTCATGCGGTCGCTGACTTTCTTAAAACCGTTAGACCGGGATTGGTTTAACCTCCCGGTTTAAGCTTATTCAAGGAAACTGGAGCTAAACACAGAGATTTTCAGACAGAAAAACAGATTCTAAACTCAAATCACAAACCTGCTACATCAAACTTGCTTGATGGGATCATATACATTCAACTTCAATCTATAAATATATATATTTACATACATACACTCAAATCTCTCTGTTTGCAACTGAAGACAACTTGAACAACAGCAAGGCAGAGACCGCCTTTTCTGCAGACACTATCAATTCAAAAATCTAACAGAAAAACCTCTGTTTGAAACCAAAGAAGAAGAAAAAGAAAACATCAAACACTTTTTCCCATTTACATCTCAAAAACAGAAAACAAAAAACAAATTTTTTTTAAATGGATAACTTTTTTGTCTTTCTAAATGGTACTGCTGAATGTATTACCAGCATTGGCTGATGAAGCTCCTGATGAGTAAGCATTTGAGTGATCTCTAGATGAGGCATTAGACGAAGAAGAAGGGTTTGTGTAGTTTTGTCTGTTCACTTGCTCTGACTTTGTTGCCACAGGTCCTCTCACTTTCATATCCATGAAATCAGAAATCAAGCCCGGTCTGCTTATTTTCCTGTAGTCTATATCCTTTTCCCCTGTTAGCAACCTCACCACTGTGGACATACTTGGTCTTAGCTTAGGACTGTCTTGTGTGCACAAAAGACCGATTTTTAGGTACCGACAAGCTTCCTCTGCATCAAAGACTCCATTTAAACCTGAATCAACAAGATCCACAAGCTCATTCCGCTCATAAAGTTCCCAAGCCTGTTGAAATGTAAAGAGAGGTTATCTTTCCAAAACAAGAGCTTAAAGGCGGGTAAGATTGATCATGCAGATTAGTCGGGCTAAACATACGGTAAATGCAAGAATGACCAATTCTGATGAGTAGCAAGACATACCCTTTCCAGAAGATATTGATATTCCGTGGGTAATCGGGTATTTTTGTTACTTCTTCCACTGACTATCTCCATCAGAAGGACTCCAAAGCTGTATATATCCGCTTTCCGCGTCAACTGTCCCCTAACAGCATACTCTGGTGCTAAATAACCACTGCCCAAAAACAGATGTGAACACATATTAAGACCTGCAATTTCCAGTGGGAAATAAGAAAAAAGGGGAAAAGAAATATATGGAACTCACATTGTACCAGCGACACGAGTGCTGACATGAGTCATGTTAGGTGGCATAAGCCTAGCGAGTCCAAAATCAGAGATCTTGGGGGATAAATATTTGTCGAGTAGAATGTTGCTTGCTTTGATATCTCTATGGATTATGTGTGGCCGTACTTCTTCATGAAGAAAGGCAAGACCTTTAGCAACCCCAACACAAATATTGGCCCGACTACTCCAATCAAACTGTATCCCACTCCGAGTGTAGCCCCCAGCTGAAAAACTTTCATTCAGTTAGGAAATAACATTACAGAGCCAGAGAAGCTGACACTTACAGAGTAAGAAACTAAGAGAATCACCTAGCAGGGTCTTATCAAGACTATTGTTCTCAAGGAAATTGTAAACAAGAATCCTGTGATTCCCCTCCACGCAGCATCCATACAACTTAACCAAATTCTCATGCTGTATTTCTGATATCACATTGATCTCAGTCAAGAATTCTTTTACACCTTGTCTTGACTCAGCCGAGAGGACTTTGATAGCCGCGAGCTTTCCATCTTTAAGACAGCCCTAGGCATCGAAATTTGTTTCCCAAAGATTAAAAAAGATGAAGAGAAAATGTGAAAAAGAAGATTAAGCAACCGAGTTGTCTCATTTACCTTGTACACAGAACCAAACCCTCCTTCTCCAATTTTATTTTCAGCACTGAAATCATCAGTGGCCTGACGTATCTCTCTATATTTGTATATCTTTACATTGTCTATCGCTGCGATTTCTGTTTGCATAATTACACACTTAAATTAGAGAAAACCAGCAACATGACTATACAGAATTAACATTCCAAACTCAAATTAGTTATCCTTCTATTTTAAGAAAATTAGATAATGTATCAGTACCTTCATCAACTTCTGTAGCTTTTCCTCTCCTGTGACATGAGAACCAGGAGCAACCCATCAATGTAAGACAGACCTGTGACCTGTTTATGCCATTAAACAGAAGCAATTCAGAGATTAGACTTGTAACTAGTAAAACAGCCACAGATCCATTTCAATTCCTCAATAAAAAAAGCTGTGAACTTGGAATTTGGGTTTTGTCAAGATTCAGAACAAAACCTAGAATAGACGCAGCCAAAAGAAAAATCACCGAGAAAGCAAAAAAAAAAAGAGAAAACCCACCTCAGAAAACTCCTAAATTTGGAACAGCGATGAAGCTAGAATCGAGAGAGAGAGAAAAAGATTCAGAAATCGCAGGTTAAAAACTTGCGACTTGGGTAGAGTTGGTATAAAAAGCAAGTGGCTTTACGCGATCAGAGTCGCTATCTCTCTCTCTCTCTATATATCTGTGGCTTGCCGTGTGTGAGATCAGATTACGGATTTGTTGAAATGGAAGACTGAGACGAATGAATAAGGGAGGAAGACGGTCTTCTTATGGTGGCGGGTAAAAAGTCAATGGGTCAATCGTAATCAGACGTCATCATTTTAATACGTTGCGACGACGACCAAATCTATTAACCCATCTCCTTTTTTCACTTTCTTTTTATTTATTTTCCTCGCGTTTTAATTATGAGATTCGACTTTTAATTATTGACTATTTCGTATTATTAACTTTATGCTTCTTTAGTCATGGGCATAATTCCTCCTCTTTATGGGAATAATTTTTTAGCTTTCAATAAAGGTGAACCAATGATTTGCCTACTTAATTATAATATTGAAAATCGATGTTTTTCAAAATGTATTGTCAAAAAACAAATTCTAGCATCTTTTGTCAAAATAATCCAATATGATTTTCTTTTCTACTATTATTTCAATATTTTACCCATATAGATAGATTCCTCACAAAATTCAACGCAATTAATATGCCAAGTGAACAAAATAATTACAAAATAGTGAAATATTCGAACTACAAACACTATAGTCTTACGACTTTTTTTAAGAAATATAAGTTATTATAAGATAATTATGAAAATTTACTGTCAATGATTTGGATACTAGTGATTACTAATGTTGTAGCAACATCCATCCACATTTAACCCCGAAATATTGCATATCATGAAACCTACTTGATTTTACCCTTTAACGATGACGATGAGTTAAGGTTTATTTTTAACACGTTATAATGTGAAAGCGTGTTTAACAAAAACAAAACGGAATCGCTTATTAAACATATGTGAAATTTCAATGATCCCTTTAAATAATAAATAAACTATAGCGTTAGATTGTGAAATCCATAAACAATGATAAAAATAGCAATTTCGGTCAAAGGAAACCTTATCACATTTTGTTGTTGTACTTGTTCGTCACGAACGACAAGGAAAAAATGGGACTCCGTTCACACTGCGAAAAATAGGTACCGGTAAAAGCAGAGAGCTTAATCTTAACCACTCTCTGGATGAGTTCTCTTCACTGCTCAATGTAGTTTGATAAATGAAACCAATATGCATACAACTTCAAAGTCAACTCCAACAGATTGCATTTCACACATTACCAAAGTTTTTAAAAGGATCAAAATAGAGGTTTTAAGCTTTAGGGTTAAAGTCTTTTAGCAATAATGGCGACATTCCTAGGTGAGATGGTAGGATCAAAGATGGGAAGCATAACCACTTTTATGGAGTCTCCTTGTTCTTGGAGAAACATAAGTCTATCAAGCAAGATCAATGTCTCAAGCACCGCTCCTAATGCAGCTCGAATAGACCAGTAAGGCCCTATCAGTTCCTACAGTTTTTTTGAGTTTGACAACACCAAAGACAAACATCCATTAGTTTATGAGAATCCAAGACGGAAGAGAAAGAGAGAGAGTTGAGGAATAGCTTACAGTAAATGCATCAGCTTCCTTCCATGTGGCATTCAGGTCGAGATCTAGAGGATGTTCTAGATTCAAGCGGGAAAATGCTGACAGGCAAAACTTCTCGAAAGAAGAACACATATCGGAATTCGAGCTTGTCTGCCTCATGGGTTTCTTGTCATCAGTGTCTGCAGTGAACTATAGATATAAGCAAAGTGCTCTTTCCTCTCACTTATTATTGAATTTATTCCATCAAACTCCTGACCTTTCCTAGTTGTATCTACTGCTGCTGGAGTTTCAAGGGATTTTCGTTGCTGTTGACGACGGAATGCCTTCCCTTGGCGCCCAATGGATGGACTTGTCACCAAAACCTCTGGATAGTGTTTTGACAGAACCTTCAAAGAGTAATTAGTTTTTTACTTGTTTGAGACAATCACTATAAATAAGTTCAGATTCTATTAACAACTAGTCACAGATCTTGGGAGAAACAAAGAAAAAGTCTGTTGACCCACATAACCCATATTACCATTTGGAAAGCAGCACGAAAAGAATGCAACTGGAAATTCTGCAGACCAGCATCTTCTCCTAAGCCGCTCCATCTCTCAGCACTCTAAGAAAACACATGTAACTTCTTCACACAAATAGATTACAGATAATAAACAACATGATTCAAAACAACAATGTTGCAACATCCAAAAATATACAATAGTGGACTATACCTGACAAGCTAAATCCCGGGCATTTTTGCCAAGAGAAAATCCCAAGGATTTGAGACCAGCGCTCATCGGATAGCCACATTTGGAACAAGAATCGTCACTACTTTTTTCAGACAATAAGTTGTAACAGCAGCCAACGCTCACTACTGCTTTAACTTCTTCGCACTCCATAAAAGTCCTGACGAAATCAAGTTGCATATTGGTTCAGCTTTCACGGTCTAACATAGCAATCAGGACCAAACTAAATAACTAATAATGTGTTCAGAATGATAACAGAAATCGCGAATGAAACAATTGCAGCAAGCATTCAAACTAACCTTAGCATTGTAACAGATAGATCCCCACATGCATGAAGGCCAGCAAGAACAAGTGAACACAATCTGTTTGCATCACTTGCTGATTGTGATCTGCTTTGACCTTCATTCAATGCACTTCCATTAAAATCCGTGTCACTTTTCTCCAGAGGAACATTGGTCAAGGCTTTCAACATCTCTGAGGATAATACACGGCATGTAATCGTCATTGGAACATCTGGGCACTTGTTTCCTGAACTAACAGAGAAGAGGTTAAGTAGCATCAACAAGTATAAAGTACCAGAACTGTGTACGAAGAAACAGGAGAAGAATGAGCGACTCTTCAAGCTAAAAATGGAAAGAGACATCTGATACTTTGTAAAAGTTTTAAATAAACTTATAATGTGTTAGCCCCTTACCCAGATTTACGCATCTGTGCTGCAAAATGCTTTCTGATACGTGCTGCACGTGCATCTGTTACCGTTCCATGATGAGAGGAAGAATCAATTGCAACCACTGAGTGCTTATATTGGAAAGAAAGAACCTGCGCTAGATAACCCTGACCAAAACATTTGCCAATGATGTTATTTAACACACTTAAGGAAAACTATATACTACAAAGTTACTAAAACTCTGATATGAAAGCAAAAATCGTCAGTTGAAACATTCCATAAATTACCAGAAAGAGAATTTTGCAATGCAGACGAGAAATGGAACCATGCAATTAAGATTGATAGTTAAACAAGAGAAAGGGATTGGAAAAACCTGTCCAGCACCGACATCAACGACAGTAGGAGCTCCAACACTCTTAACAACTGAGCTAACAACAGAGGAAAGAACTTCAACCTGCATGATACCTTAATAAGTGACTTACAGACCCATTCAAAGGAAGTGTCCAGTAAAAGGTACATTTAACAAATACAGTGAAGTGGCAAATGACTTTGCCAGATTTTTATGGTAATAAGACTTGAACAGCTACAAAAAATTCATACTCTCTTTTCAATTTAAGTTTCTTCCATTGGGATTAGTCACCAGATGCATACAACTGAAGGTCCATACCAAAAGTAGACATCATTGAAAGATATGAATTGCAACTCGGGATAATGAAGATAACAATGTACCTCATGTTTTTTCTTAAGATTCATGCCCTGTGAAAGAACGGTGCTAAGCGGTACCAAATCCACATCTGCGAGTATCTGCCAAAAGTAGAAAATGATTAAGCTTTATTAAGTCTAACGAGAATCTAAAACACCATCCTGATACAGCAGCACAAACAGGTATAGACACATTCGACTATTCATACACTCGCAGAGGAAGTTAACATGGAGAAACCCCTACCGCATTTACAACTAAAAGAATGTAAAATGTAGAGCAGAGAGAATACGATACCGCATGTAAATCCGCTTGCTCTCTAGGAAATGATAGAGACCTCAACGTGTGAACAAATTCCTTGAGTGAAGCAGGCCAGTGATCCTAATAATCAAATCCAATAACACAAAATTATACAGACGCATATCACTACTATTATCAATTATCTCCTCCTCAAACATAGAGAAAACTCTTTTATCAAATTTCTCAATCATGAAGACAAGACCAGAACTTTACCTGGACAACCCCGGAGGGAATAAGAAGAATATTTTCCGGCTTCTCATCCTTTAAGCAACTCATCCATACCTCATCAACAGCTTCCCATTGCTTATCCTGAGAGAAAAAAAAACCATCAAATCAACTCATAACCCAACTGGAAGCTGAATTTCAGATTGTTTCCGATTATCGACCATACCTTGAAGAAATTGACAACATGAGCATTGATTAGGAAAGAAAAAGGTTTAAGGAAATCGATAATGGCGATGATCCATTCTAGGGTTTCGGCTCTTGTGTTGCAAGAATACTTATTGCTCTTCATTTTCCCGATGACTTGAGTAGCAGCAACGATTCTAGTTTCCGCCGCCAAACGCCGACCAAACACTTGCTTAACCGTCAAAATGTTTTGTAAAAGTACCTCGTAACTTTTAAATTTATTCAATTTAGCCAACAATTATTTATTCTGTAACAAATACACCCCTCTTGTCACGTGACCGAGTCTTCAAGAGGCTTTCTCTCGTTCTCTCTTGTTAACACTCTACTTCACTCACCAATTCATGATATTTAAAATAAACATCTGGTTACATTAATCCAATATAAAAACTGACTTCTACTTTCACTTAAAGCAACCATTGTTGCTTCTCCCTCCATGGATGAGTAGACCCAATTTTTAGTTACTGATTATTTTCTTGTTCTTCTTCGTCTACTTCTTCACCGTTTTTATAGTCGTCAACCTCTACCACGACTTGAGGGAAGCTTCTAAATTCGCTACACATGTTATGACCAAATATGATAACATAAAAGGTCCTCTGGCGGTCATAGATGAAGTTCAAATGCTTGCCATCTTCGAGATTGTTATCTTTTACAAAATTCTCCCAACCAAGTGTAAGAAACACGTTCTCTCCTCTTTTCTTCACTCTAACCGTCCAAGATCTCCCATTGTAGTCTAGGAGGTCCACCGTTATTGGCAATGGAGCAGGGAAGTGTTCCTCGAATCCCAAGGGAATTGCCTAAAAAACAAAACAACTCTCAGGAGACAATTGCAGCAACCTAGAGAAACAAGGGACTCTTAGAGTCTTGCTATTTTTCAGTCCCAAATAAATGTTTGGTTTCAGCAGCTAGAAAGAACAACACACATAATTTCATTCTAAATCCTAGCAAGTTTCAGTAAGGTCTATAACTTTTGGAATCTAAGGGCTTTAGCTACTTTGATCAAATCTACCAGATGCATATATCTTTAACAACGAGCCCAAGATTCAAGAAGATTTAGTTGAGTGATTCAATTAAGAAAGTTACATCTTTTACCGAAACAGAGCAAAACCCATTAATAAGCAAAAAAAAGTGGATCTGATACACAACAAGCAAATGAGAGCTTACTGGTTTTTGCTAATTTGAAGCTAACAATCAAAGGACCTAATAAGTTCTTAGCTCCATGGAGATATTTAACTAAAGCAGTTTACCCTAAAACCATAAGTCTCCAAATGAGAAAACTAAAACACATATTTGAACTTGTTGAAATAAGAAAATCAAAAGAGGAAAGATAGAGACATTCTCACCAATGATTTAGATGACTTTTGTGAGATGAAAGGCTTAAAAAATCGAACCTCACCAGTGTCAGCCATGGAAAAGAGAGTGAGAGCAAATGTAGCTAAAATCAAAATCCAAAGTAAAAAAAACAAAAAAAAAAAAAGAAATGAAAGAGAGTGCGTGTGGGATAAAGGAAGTACAAAACCAATATTGAACTCTTCTTATTACTATTGGGCCAAATGATAGAGCCCAATAGCCCAATAACGAGCTGATTCAAAGCCTCTCGAGCTAGAAGAGAAACTCGAAACCCTAGAGTTCTCTCCACTATTTAAGACCTCAAATCTTTCGATGTACGACAGCAGAATTCTTCGAAAGTCGGCTCTAGAAATTTCTATGTTAAAATTTTTGCAAAGCTCCATTCTTTTTCTAGGGAAATTTTGACAAGTTTTTTTTTGTCTATCTTCTCGATTATCGTGTTATTTTTCTTATAGATTCAATGTCGATTTATTTTTTTATGCTCTATTTTGTTTTTCTTCAAAAAAAAAGTATCGAAAAAGAGGAGAGGGCGATGATAATGATGATGAAAGATGATTTCCATAGAACAATCCAACTCTGACCATCATTGATGATCTTACCATCATGCACTACCATCTGAATCTCGCTCTCCCTTTTATCCTTTTTTTTTTTTCCTTCATGAAATCGTTAATTTTATTTTCTCAGAAACTGATTTGGTCGGATTTTTAGTTCTGTCTCAATTTGCAGTATTCTATTGGAGAAAAATCATCGTAAGTTCTGATTATTTCATACAAAAGTTTTGATTAATTATATGTTATTAAATTGATTTGTTATTTTTTCTATTTGTTTGCTGTTCATAAGCCATAATGCAGATTCACAATCACACATCTATAGATCGATATTCAATAGCAATAATTTGACCTGAAAAAAGGAAAAGTAAATCCCTCAGAAATTAATTATCGACCTCATGGACAAAATTAATCAAAAAGATGTTGAGAACTTTATAGTAAAAATGTGTAAAATAAAAGAACAAATCCTCGAGAATTACTTTTGCTGGTAGTTGGTCAAAAAAACGATTATTTCTGCAAAAGACCAGTCATTGAATTAATCACTTTCGCAGATAATCGCAGGTAAAACGATAAAATTATGAGAAATATTCTTACTATTGATTTGACGAGTTTCATACAAATGTGGTTTTTGAAGATGACTGTTCTAATTTGAGGACGACTTTCAGAAAAGGATATTTCATAGTATCTATACATTTTTGAATGAATTTTAGCAAATAAATCCTGGAGTTGGACCTTATTTACGGATGAATGCCATTGGCATTAATTATTTAAATTTGAAAAATATTACTCAAAGATATTACCAATACGATTTCGAGAATCATAAATTCATATCTTCCTTAATTTTCTGAGTCATTAATGTGATAATCTTTAGGAAATATTTCTCTGTAAAAAAAAAAATCCACATTAATGAAGGCATTAAAATCGACACTAACAATTAAATTATTTAGATGTTCAATTATTTTAAGATTCTTATATCTTATTTGATATTTTTTTTTAATATCTCATTCTTTAATTACTGCGTTTAGAATTTATTGGTTGTTACCTATTTTTTGGTGAAATTTATTGGTTGTTACTTAATAAGTAATTATGGTGCGTTTATTTTAGTTAATATCTAATTTAAAGGATTTGTTTTCTTTTATTATTAACTAGGAGCGGTCCCCGCGCCCGGCGCGGAGTTGTAGGGATTTTAATACCATTATTAGTAATGAACAATTAATAGTGTTTAATCATAATATATATAATAGAAACATAAATGAGAAAAATGATATATTTAAACAATAGATATATTATTAAAATAATGATAGTTGCATAAAAAAAATGCAATAAAAAACTGGATTTTGGTTGATGTTGTGTGTCATGATTTTTTCTCCACATTGCCTTAGTTTGGTTCAAAGGTTATGTGTTTAAGCATGTTTTTTAATATGTGGGTTAGTCACTTAAAAAATAGACCACTCGTTAAAAACTGGTTTCGTGGAGATAAATTCAATCTGATGAATGTTGTCTATGCACTTTTGCAATGGAGTCTCGAAATCATCTCATGTTCCTCTGTGAGCGCTTCCGAGGTGTGAAATTTGTTTTTTTCTAGGCTTTATTCTCGACAAAAGTTGTTTTGCCATTGGGCTAAGCTACTTTCTTGGACCTGACGCTCTTCCTCTCTTGAGACACTTAAATAATTGTCCATTCATCAAAGACAGGTTTCTTGGGAATAAATTCAATCTGATGAGTGTTTTCTTTGCATTTTTGCAACGGAGTCTCGGGATCACCTCCTGCTCCTCTGTAAGCTCTCCCCATGTGTGGAATTTGGTTTTATCTATGCTTTATCTATGAAAAATATTAGTTTAAAGAATATAAACTGTTATAATTGAATTTTGAATTCTTTCAGGAAGCAGGATAATAAACCAGACGTGTTCTTTTGTTTCGAGGTAGTTTTGTCATTAATCATTAAAAATTAATTCGTCTTCTATAAATTTTGGCTTATCGTTAGAAAAATGTAGTGGTCATATCATCGTCTGTGTGATTTGATTCGCAAAATTAGAGTATTCTCAAGGTGTTGACCTACATATATTAATATGTAATTGTGTATATGTTGTGTAATTTTCAAATGTTTGTTTTAAATATGTTATTTTGGTTTGATTAGGTGTCTTAAGGAGAATTACTGCACGTATATGCAATCAGGTTCTGTTCAACCCTAAATGTCTAGAGTTTTGGAGGATGTGGTATTTTTTTGCTGGCAAGGATCACACATTTTGCACTTGAGATTCCGAGACTCCGTTGCAAAAGTGCAAAATGTGCTTAATAACTATAAATTTTTGTGATCCTTAACACAAAACGACTCCGCATTCCTGCAATTTTCAGCACACATACGGTTTACTTTTCATTATAATACTAAAAACAAACAATATGTATTAAAAATATATGTTGTTAAGTTTTTCAAACAATAAGCTGAAAACGAATTAGGGTGTATTTTGAATGCTTTTCAAAATAGTAAAAGTCAAAATATCATTATAATTTTAAAAAGTGCACTTTCAAATATGAAAAAATGAATAACATTTTTTCAAATTCAAAGAAACACTCTTATTCTTTCATTTTGAATTTGGAAATAGAGAGAATGTTACGTCAAAAATGTAAACTAATTCAAGAACCATAAAACAATCCGACCTTATTGTTCACAATAATGATTAGTGAGCTAAACTAATAATCAAACCTGTACTTTAATGGATCAAACAATAATCCACAAACAAAAACCTAATCATTGCGTTGCAACAAAGGTCAATAATATATAAACTGGATATTAAAATAAATATGTAAAAATAAACTTGTCAGCACCAGACGCCTTCAGTCATTTGTTTCTTGATAATCAAGGAATCAAAATAATAATCTATGACTGAATTGAACTGAAAGAACATATTTCGTATGAATTTGGATATTCTATAGTATAAGTTAATAGAAATTTCACCTTTAGATATATAAATTTAGTTGGTGTCGATTAGTCGGTTGGTACTTGCTTTCCCATTCGTATTACACGGGTAGATAAAAATCGTTGACAAATAATACACAACGAAACGTGCTCGTCTCTTTACAGTACACCAACGTGCTCCACCTACACCATCGTGAAAGCTATGTTCTGGTTCGCCGATATCAACTCTTAACATATCAAGTCATCACTGTCTCCTCCAGGAACAAACCAAGTTCTCCACCTTTACACAAACCATTTTGTCTATGGGAGATGGACACTATGACACACTTTTGCTAACATTTCTTAAAATTGTTTTTATAAGAAGTCCAATATTACCCACCACTCTCTATCTCAATGACGGTTAAGAACATCCGCTTTGAAACATGCTTCTCGTCTTCCTTCACCAAACCATCTCACGATCGCTCTCTTCTTCATCTTGAAGCCCAAGCCAATATCTCAATGTCTCAAACTTCTTATGTTAACCATCTTCATTACCTTACCTTCCTCCTAATTCAAGCACTTCTTGTAGTCCTGTCTCACTGCCACATCTTCCGCTAGTTGGTACAGTACCAAACAATTACTGTTCTATCTTAGCCATGCATTTCTCAAAGAGCTTCAATGTTCTCCAAGTGTAGTTCATGATCTTCTTTTTTTTTTTTTTAATCATGCACATATGAATGTTAGTTCTTAGTCAATATACCATCAACAATCACAACCAAAAACAAAGGAAATCCAGATATCAGATATGTCGAAAGTAAATCCAAGTATATGAGTAAATTCCATCTAAAGAAGGAAATAGAAACATACCTTTAAATCTCTCTCGGGTCCAGCTAAGAAACTTGATTTATTCAAGTTTGTCGCAGACAAGAGTATTTACAACAGCAAAGAGGCCGCCTTCTCCAATCCAGGATCCAACCTGGAGTAGTTAAAGACCAAAATATATATTTTAGAAACATGCTCACGTAACCTATTTTGCCGCTAAAGTTGCGATCAGTTTCCTCCGCTTCAAATTCTGCCCAAATCTGCAAAAACGAAGGCCAATTTCAAATTAACTATATTAAACATAGAAAACCAAAAAAAAGAGCCTAGACATGAACCAACAATAAAATGATAAAAACCGAGACCAAAGAGATATTAAGCAAAACGGGAATAATGGAATAACTTAATGAGATAGGAGTAATAGAATCTCCTCATCCTCCTCCTTCTCCCTGTATATGATGGTGATACTTGCAAGAAGAACCAAATTTACATGTTCCCGTTCCATACAATGCTATCTCAAAGAAAGTAATCAAAGTGAGAATTTTATACACTAATTATAGTATTGTTGATGAAAGTTAAAACCAAAGTGCATCAATGAGTACCTGACACACGTGTTGTACCATTATCTATAGAAACTCTACAGCTTATATTATGAGAATTGACATACAAGACCTAAAAAGTGAAACTAAAAACATCAATGAGAGCTTCCAAACAAAAACTATTTGAAGTTTTACGATACAATGTTAACGGACTATTTTACTTGTGCTGAATCAAAACTCACCTACCTGCAAAATTTCTACGGTTGGCTGGTTGGTATGTGATATAGAAGAAATACCGAAATTATTTTCTTTCACTCTAGGGAGAACTGGCTCAGCTACTTCCATGGAATAGAAAGAACATTTGGTGAGATGTGATAAATTCCCCATGGTAAAGCTCATCTGACCAACTGTTGTTGATGGGTTGAGGAACTTCAGTGCTTAAAGAGATCAGTTCCATTATGAGCAATCCCTGTTAATTTTCAGAAAATGATCAAAAGTTGATCTAGAGTCCAAGATATATGCAGGACTTAGGAATAGACAGTACCTTTATCATTACTTCGCGTATGAACATCTCCACAAACTCCTCAGCCATCTTCTTTGTGATCATATCAATATGGCAAGTACCAAACCTTAGAGACCACACATGAGAATCAACTATTGAACTTTTGTTTTTGGGTCTTACCAAATGTAGAGACATTCCAGAAATTAAATACAGGGATGCCACCACAATCTCCAGCATCACTTGAATCTTCCTTAGAGCAAGAGAACTGTACAAGTGACTCGGTACCTAGCTTGGTATAACATCTCAGAGATCTGCTTGCATTTACCATCTCAACAACAACGGCTACCTGCATTTTTCTAAAGTTTTCTTTATAGATTCCAAATTACAAGAGAATAAATTTCCCAAATTTACAAGATTTAGCATTGTCACACTCACCATTTCCTTGTACGACGATAAAAGCTTGATTCGATAAGCACTCTGAACATAGAAAGACTTAGTTTGTGAGTTAAAACGAAAGAGATTGAACGCATGAGAATGAAACGAAAGACGAAGAGAGTATTGAAATGCAACTTTTCACCTGTTGCTTAGACAGCTTCTTCAAAGCGTTCTTCTTGATATCAAACATGTTACTCGACACACCAAGCTCCATCATTGGCATATACCTATTGCCATGGAAAAACATAATATTAAGAATCAATCTTCTTACTCGAACACTCCTCAAATCACCAAAGTGAAACCAATTCCAAAACGATTGCTTTTTAGACGTTCTAAAGCAGAGAAAAAAAAAACATCAGTGAGAGCTTCCGAACAAATGAAATCATAGATTCTGTTTCAGCGATATCTAATAAACTACTTTTCACCTATTAACAAAAATACTCCATCAAAATAAAATAAAAACGCATAGGAAGAAGACAAAAAGAAAGACAGACACTTTATCAAAGCCAAAGAGCAAGAGAGGGTTGATTACCAACTCGAGTTTTGTGGGTCTCGACCCGTACCCGCAGACACCGTTCTTAAGTAATATATATACAATCGGTCGTTCGGGATACGATTCACTTCCACCACCGTTTTGCAACCCTAACCGCTACATCCAAGCTACAAACGCCACATTAAAAAAACAAAAACTTTCAATTCACACATAAACCCTAATCAGACACTAATCTTAAAGAAGACAAAGAGTGCCATTAACGTTACCGTTGATGCTGGTCACGTTTTCTGGGGCGGTCCATCCGTTACCGTTGATGTTGGTCACGCTTTTTGGGGCGGTCCATCCAAGTAATGAATCCGACCGCAAACCATCATCGCCGGTGCCACCGTACCTGAGTGGTCTACTTTGAAATCAGACCGATTGTGAGCCGTAATAGTTCACGTCTTTCTCTCTACAAACCTACTTGTGTATGCAAATTCATCCTGCAATCATACGTAATGTAAACAACATTAATATTTTTATAAAAATCGAGCCATAAATAAATTACAGAAAAAAAAAACAGGGGTTAGTTGTGATCTAAAGGTGACTACCAATCCAGGTATTTATATAAAATTAAGAGGCGGTGTAATATCTACAACAAAAAAAGGAAGATTTATATATTTTTTAAGAAGCGAATCTATATCATAACAATTAATAATTTAAAATTGTCTTATTCAATATTATACATATTAATTTTAAGTAACGTTTCATTTTATTTTAAGATAAAGATGGAATAATAACATAACGATTTAGATTTACTACTATATCTTACATTTCTTTAGATTTTCCGTCATTATCGACATAAAATATTTAAAAAATAAAATTTTATTAGAGATATGAATCAGATTTAAAGAATATACGTAGGATTGTTTTGATATTTTTTGCCAATATCTACTTATCAAAAAAGGAAAATTTAATTTTTAACTCATAATTATCACAAACGATTGGTTGGGAAAGAAAGAAAAAAACAAAAAAAAACGGAAAACAAAACGAAAAAAAAAGAAAAAAAAAGGAAGACACACGACCATTCTCCGTCTCCTTCTACGAAATCCCACGTTTTTCATTACGATCAGTGGAGGTTAATACACTTTCATCGAGTCTATATTCATTATTCGTGCATGATCCAATCAGATAATTCAAGGTAATTTTAAAGAACACCCTCTTTTATTAGCTTGAACTCTATGGTGCAGGATAGCATCAATAATTCAATATGATGGTTTGAAGACTTGGCATGGACAAGATATTAATTAAGAGCCGTCTTTCCATCATGTCAGATTCGATCAAAAGATGATGTTCTATCACTAAATTGTCGATTCTCTCTGGTTATATGCTATCTTTTAGGTTTTCAAGTCTGGTATGTATATTAAAAAGTTTACATGCGACGAAGAACATGATGATGAGGTACGATGAACATCTTCTAAAGTGGTACGTAAATTACAATCGATCCATTTTTTTTTAGGTTTTCTTATTTTTTCGTGTTTACGAATATTATTAATTTTAAAAAATGTTACAATCGATCCATTTTTTTTTAGGTTTTCTTATTTTTTCGTGTTTACGAAATTTATTAATTTTATAAAATGTAAATTATATCAAATATTCACTTATTAGGGTTATTTATGTAATTGAACATTAGTTGATATTCGACTTGATTTAATAGAAGGTATTTAAGTAATTACGTAAAATCAAGGACTCAACAAGAGCCGAGAGTCCGACACATCAGCAAAAACACTTCTCAAATATTGTTATATATAGATAAATGAATAACATGTATAGAAATAAAAGATTTTTTTTGCGACTCCATAATAAAAATATTAAACTATTATTTTCTACATTTCTTACACATAATATCCTCTTATTCAATAACAAAAAATATATATTACATATTTTTAAAAATATTTATAATATTTAAATTATATAAAAAATTTGTAATATTAATATTATTTCAACTCTATACAAATTTAATATATATGTATATATATCTTATGGGAACCATTTAAAAGAAATTTTTAAATTGACTTGAATTATATAGCTTTTAAATAAAAGTATTATTAAAAAGAAAAATAACTAAATAATGTTTAATTTTACGGGATGGGTAATATGATGGGACGGGTTTGGGTTGATATTTATAAAAGATCGTATACCACGGGTGAAATCCTAAAATTAACAATCAAAATAATCTATCAAACAAATTACATTTTGATTTTTTTAAGAAAATATAGCCCGGCGGTGTACCGCGGATTAAAATCTAGTTAGTAAGTAAAACCTTCTACCTAATGGCCTAACGGGTGCTTTCTCTTTTTCCATATGTGGATGGGCCCAAAGCCTGATTTACCCATTTTTTTTTTATAGGTTTGCTTTTTACGAGAACCCACAACGGCTAGTTTGTTCTCTGGGATCAGGACGTGTCATCATCGTGGCTGTTCACGTGCTTTATTCCCGGCAACATGAAATTAAAATTTGTTTTTTGTTTTTTTGTTTTAATCTGACACAAGGTTTTGAGAATTATCAATTTCTTCCCGGTGTTTCAACATCCTCCATAATTATCCTCGTTTATAATAACTTTGACAACTTTACACGAAGAAAGAAAATAAACCCAAAGGCTTTGATCTTAAGTTGTGAACTGTTTAATAAGCATTGGACATATAGTTCTGTTTAAATTTATGGGGTGATAATTGAGATTTGGAAAACTAGGGTATGCATGCAATGAATACAAAAATAGAGAAGAGGTAAATACAAAATAATAATAATAACAAAAGTACCCCATCAATTTGAAGAGTAATTTAAAATTATTAGGGATTTTTTCTACCTAATACGTAAATCGGCAACTAGCCGTTACGATCTCTCTGTCTCTCTCTCTCTTTTAAAAATTCAAAAGAGATATTAAAGCATTCATAATCTTGCAGATTCTTGCATATTTTCTTTCCTTTAACGAGCGCAAAAGATCTGAGATTTGTTAAATAATTCATTCTGATTACCGAAGTTGATTTTCAATCATGGCTTCTTCTCCTGCTAGGAACAAGATCTCTGTTTCTCCTTCTTCTCTTTTGTCTTCCTCTTCTCCTTCAATGCCTTCCAGACCAAACCCTAAACTCAGAAACTCGGAGACCGGAGATCTGATGCGGCGCAGTTTCCGAGGCAACCCATTTCCGGCGGATTCGTCCCGGAGAAACTCAATCGGTAGAGAATGCAACAATCGTGTTGAGTTTGGTGATAAAGAGAATCAGCACGACAAAGATCAAATCTGTAATGTCGTCAAAGTTCCAACAAAAGGTTCCAAGCACTTCATGTCACCGACAATTTCAGCCGTTTCCAAGATCAATCCATCGCCGAGGAAGAAGATCTTGTCTGATAAAAACGAAGTGTCTCGATCCTTTGACAAAACACATCATCAGGTTCAGGTGAAGTCGTCTGTCTCATTTTCTGATGTGATTAGCATCATTGGGGAAGATAAAGATCATGAGCAGACTTACATCGATGAAAAGAAGCAGCTTCATGAAGAGGAGTCGCATGACATTACTGTCACTGATTTCGATGAGACTATTGAGAACAAGAGTAATGATGATTCAAGCTTCAAGATCAGTCCTCTTCCTCCTTCTGTTCCATACACATTCCCTGTGTTTGAGTCTCATGAAGTGGATCCTTCGGTGGCACCTTATGATCCAAAGAAGAATTACCTGTCACCGAGGCCTCAGTTTCTTCATTATAAGCCAAATCCAAGAATTGACCATCATTTTGATGAGTGCAAGCAGCTTGAGGAGCTTTTCATCTCTGAAAGCTCTTCTTCTGACACTGATTTGTCTGCAGAGGAAAGCCAACAAGAGGAGGAAGTTTCTTCTCAGGAAGGTGTAGTTGCAGGAGAAGAAGACGCAGAGAAAATTGTAGATGTGGATGGTGATGAGCGTTTGGAAGCAGCGGTGAGTGATGATGATGAAGAAGAAGTAGTTGGTGAAAGCATTGAAGAAGAAGAAACTCATCAGATTTCAAAACTGTCTCGTTTCAAGACATCCAAGTTGCTTGGTTGGATTTTGGCTCTTGGTGTGGCGTATCTGTTGGTGGTTTCTTCAACCACTTTTGCTGAACAAAACATCTCAGATTCACCTTTCTATCAATTTCACATTTCACCAGAGATCATAATGGCTGCAAGGGCCAACTTTGAGCAGTTGGGTGCAAAGCTAAGGATGTGGGCAGAGTCATCACTTATGTATCTTGATAAGCTGGTCTCAAGTCTACGAGAAGAAGAGGGATATGTTCCTTTTCAATTTCATAACTTGACAGATGTTTTGGAAGACAAAAGATTGTCTGATACTGTTTTCCAGCCAACTAGTGGTGAAATCAGTGTTGCTGGGTTCATAGTGGATAGCCAAGACTGGAGCTTAGAAATGGATATAGAAGAAGAGACTGTTGGTCATCAGGAACCTGAAAAAGAACCGGAGAACAGTGGTGAAATCAGTCTTGAAGCTGTCTACGAAGAGGGTGATAATGAAGGAGAAGAGGTAAACTCAGAAATTGTTGATGAATGTGATGAGCAGGCTGAGATCAAGATAGCCACAGATACAGAGGTGAATGGAAGTGAAAGGTATTCAGAATCTCTTTCTGAAGAAGGAAATGGTGGCCAAGAAACTGATGTTGTTGAAGGGCAGGGAGAATATGAAGAAAATGACCTGAAGAATATCGAAGAAAGTCATGAATCTGAAACTGGATTTGCCCAAAATGATGAGAAGAACATACAAGAAGCTGTTTCCGACGCACACCAGCTTGATGATGTGGAGTCTGTTGCAATCAGGGGTCATCATCAAGAACAAACAGAAGTAGCCAATGTTGAAACTGTACCAGAAGAAGAAGGTGTTGGGGAAATTGCTGGAAGTAGCCGCAGTGTTTCAGAAGAAGCTACAGATTTTGAACATGATGGTAATGATTTAGAAGAAGAAGAGAGTGGGTTTGCTGAAGTTGTTAATGATGCAGGCTCGGAGGAGATTTTGTTGAGTAACCAGAAGAAAGTGATAGTCTTGTTTTCGACTCTGATGGTTCTACTTGCAGCAGCAGCAGCTGGTTTCTTGTTATCCAAGAAGAAGACAAACCCTGTGATGCTGCAACATGAAGATGGTGAACCAACAACAATCTCTGCAACTAAAGTTGTTGAGCATGTGCCAGTAGAGAATCTGATAAAAGAAAGGCTTTCTTCACTGAATTTCAAGGAAGAAGAAGAAGTTGGTGATGACAGAAAAAGAGAGGTATCATCATTCCCTTCTGAGATGAGTTTCAGTTTCAGTAAGAACAAATCATTACACAGCTGCAGCAACAACAGAAATGATCTTAAAGAATATCAAAGCGGAGGAGAAGGCAAGAAGAGTAATGATAGCTGTGAATCCATGGCTTCCTCGGCATCAGAATACTCCATAGGCTCTGTATCATATGGGAGTTTCACAACATACGAGAAGATACAAACAAGAAGTGGTCAAAAAGAGAAAGAGATGATAACACCTGTGAGACGTTCAAGCAGGATCAGGAACAATCAACATTCTGGACAATGAATTAGAATTAGCTTTGACTTTATGATCTACTGATTTGTAGGAAGCTTTTCCATCTCACTGAAGCTTAATTAGTATGTTGCTTTCTAGTTTCTGATCTTTGCTTTTTAGGTTTGACTCTCTCCTTTAAAGTTTCTGGCTTGACGATTTGTTTAAGACATTGTACTCCAACATTAGCATGTGATGATGAGCCTTCCTTTCGCCTAGTTTTAATAATATTTGTTCATCTTATCTGAATTCTCTTCTTTGTGTATTGTAAAACGATGGATAATTTTCAAACACCATGATCTTAAAACGTTATGCATGAAGAATAGGACAAATTTGGCGTTGAAAGTATTTTATGATGATAAATTAGATTAGTTTACATAGGTATGATTAAACCTTAATGGCTTAGGTGTCACTCAATGACCAGATTCAATCTAAGATACTTTGTTTTTGAGATTGGTCATCATAAGTTTGTACCAAGCCAACAACAATATCAACAAATTGTGGGACAAATCATGAAGACAACAAGAGAACTCACAGCCAATCATTTACTTCCCCAATATGAGTATAAGAAACCCACGATGCAGAGACAAAAGAGAATTACTCAAAATACAAGTGAAAAAGATTTTGGTTCCGAGTAAAAAATCGAGACCGTTGTGATAATAACTGTCACAGAGTATAATAACTGTCATCTTCATTGCCTATATTATAGGTGAAACAAGCTTTAGACCTTCTCTGTACACTCCAACTCCATCGTCTCCTCCTTCGTTTAATCATTCATGTCGTCAAAACCAAAACCAAAAAAAAAAACAAAAAAGAAGATAGAAAAGAACCACCCTCAAAAGAAAAACATCAGTGGACAAAAAAGTTGGAGGCTAATCTCTCAGTTGCTAACTTCTTCTGCTCCATTTGGGACTTAAGTTTTTATCTAATGTCATCAAGCTATGACTGATTCGGTTTTCTGGCTACCAAGCTTCAAGAATTCCACAAGTATTCTCTTTTGCTCATCGCTTATGTGCGGGAAACTCGCTCGTAGAAGCTCGATAGGCATTTCCCTGACAATGGCTTGTGCAGCAGCTTCAGACATCTCTGTGGCAAAGTGTGGTGGCAATTGCGAATTCAGGTTCTGCATTATACTGTCGTACTTGCTTATGCAGTGTTTCATCAGTAAGTTGAAGAACTCATCAAAGGACGCACGCCACAGATTCATGCCTGCGTTGTTGTAATTATTAGCACGGAGAAGCTCGGTAGCTCTATCGAGTGCAGATTTGAGTATAATGGTAGCTTCGTCTCCGACAGGACTACCCAAAGGACGAAGCGGTGGCTGCTCAGAAGAACAAGAAACTGCTGCTAGACACAGGCTTACGGGTCCAAGATCCATGGTCTGAATGCATAAAGCGACAACTTTTGCAAGTTTGATTGTGGTTTTTGTGGTTTCAGTATCTGATGATCGCACTCCAAACAAAGATCTTAAGTGTCTAAAAATAGCCATGCAAACAATTCGCATTGGATCGCTGCCAGGGAAAAGAAGCTGGAGGTACCTTGTAAGTAGCTTCCGGCCCTTTCGAAGGGACGTAATTCTTAGAAAGACAACATCCTGAAATGCAAGCCCACTGTTTTGCCCGTTCTTACCAAGTGGGTCAACAAGCTGTAGTGACACTGCAAGCCCATCCAACAGAGCTTGCCGCTTTTGCCTCAACTGGTTTCCACCATCTTGGAGTTGATTGAACTCTAAGAACCGGTCAATATCATCTACCTCAAGGAAGAGGTAGAGACCTTCCTCAATAATCACCCTAGCTGCAAGCATTGGCTCTTGTTCAAGGGGCTTGTCTGTATCTTTCTGCTCTAGATTACCAGATTTTGTTGAATTTGGAGGATCCATTTCAAGCAGAGGCCGAGGCCTGCGGATCGAAGAGAAAGGAACTCTACCAAGAGCATCAACCTGAAGAAATGCGTGGGGCTCGTTGTTAGGACGAGCACGAGATGGAAGGTCTCTCAAATGATTTGGACAGAAATGATGCTTCAGTTTTGCACCAGCAGATTTCTTAGCAAGACGTGCTTGGTGGTAATAATCATCTACATAAGGATCATTGCTATGGGTAGCCACCAGTTGCATTCTTAGGATGTTCTCTATTTCAACAGCTGTCATATATTTCGACCGGAAAGGAGGCCATGCATTATTTCTCCTCTGAAGTCCACCATCAAAACCGTGTTGAAGAAAGCGCATGTTTAGTCTGTTCCCCTGACTCGATCCTGGTCTTGCTTCCCTCAGATCACCAAACCCAAGCATTGCATCATAACTGCCCGAGGACGCTGACCGAGAAAGGTTGGAATTAAATAGTTGAGGCTGCATTCCTGACAAATGCCCGTGGGGCTGCATCGGATGTACTAACCTATTTTGAGGACCCTGCATCTGAGGCATCCGCTGCTGTTGAGGCATTAGACCGTTTTGATGAGGTAACTGCTGTTGTGGTAACATGTTGTTCATGATCCCAGAACTATCCCCAGGAAACATATTTTGGCCATTCATCCATTGAGCTGGGGGTCGATTGTTCACAGGAAGAGAAGGTCGAAACTGTGGCAAGTTTCCAGTGATTTGCGGTGACCCATGCATGCCAACCAACTGAGGATGAGAACTTGGAAATGGAGAGAGATTTGGCGATCTGGTATGAGACCCATCAGAATGAAATTGTGTATTTGGTTGTCCTAAATGCTGATCTGGTACAAGAATCGGTTCACTGGAAAATTGTTGCTGATGCGGGTTTGGGCGCTGTTGATGCTGTGGTTCAGGATATGATGTTGCTCTGTGCAGGTTTCTTTGCTCAACAAGATTCAGAGTTGGAAAAGGCTGTGACGGCCTCCTTTTGTCATCTTGAATCGCCTCAGAGTCTAGTTTCTGCTGGCCATACCAATTTGGCAACTCCTCTCCATGGTTCCACCCATCACCAACATAATCTGGAAACAAAGATGAATGATAAAGGGGTTAATTACTGATTCACTGTACATAAAAGAGCGTGTTAGATACCCAAACAACCCTAAAATGAGTCAGTAGAATGGGCTAGGAACTTATCGCACCATAAAATCTTGAGGTAATACACAACTAAATAGATCATACACACAATAATTTGATAAAATAAATATCTTCTAAATTCACCATAGAGAAACTCAAGAGAAACCCTGACACGAGATCTACAGACAGTATGCAATAAGCAAAAATTCCATTCTAGTGTAAAGAGTTTTGAGACAGAATTCAGTGAACATAAGAACTGACACTGTCTTGATCCAATACCAGCTATAGGTACCGTGCTCCTATATCCTTCAGGATCCCTATTCAACTGTAACAGGAAAAATAAAAAGGTTCAGGTTATAAGCTTCAATGAAACCTTCTCCAGTTCGATCCTGGATCGAGCACAAGGAAAGAAGAATACAAGACATGAGAGTAAGACCAATTAGCTGACCTTTGAAAATGTACTAGCAAGATCATCAGCGTCGGACAGAGTTCTAGAAACATGAACCTGCATATATTGGGGAGAATCATAAGACACACGAGCAGATGAATCCAAGATGTAAAAACTCCCCTGTCTGAGCACTGGACATGGAAGCGACAGAGATTGTGATGGAAAAAACCTCGTCCTTATCAAAGGCAAAGTCTTCTTCTATTCCAGCGACAGGTAATTCTTCTTCGTCTTCATCTTCCAATCCACCAAACTCGACCTCCTCAACAACATGGCTCCCAAAAAAGTCATACTGAGATGCATCAAAGACACCTGCACCAATGAAATAGTCAGTCACCCAAAACTTTTGAGAGGTAACAAAAGAAGTATATAAGTGGAGAAAATAGAATCAAACCTGTAGAATGATTTCCAATCTGCTTAAGATCCATGGATGCTGAAGAACCTTGTATAACACTACTCCCACGACCAAGACCGTTCGTAATCTCTCTCTAACTCAGCTCGAATTCATAATCCAGATCAGACAAAATCAAGAGTTGCCCGGAGAAAACCAAAGCCTAGAAGAATTCAAAGCTCTACGGACGACGAAGAAGAAGAGCAGCCCTAGATGAGAAGATAGCGAGAGATTGGAGAATTTTGTGATTGAGGCAACAATGATAATTGTACAAAATTTAAAAATACAATAAAAGAAAATCAAACAAATTTTGTTGTTTTAAGAAAATATGGAGGAGGTGGTGGTGTGGGGTTGGGCGGTTGCCAGCTTTTATGTTGAAAAGGAGGTTATTGACAAGGATTTTCTTCTTCTTCCTTTATTTTATTTATGCCTATATTAATATTCTAGTTATATTTTTTTCGTTACATTAACCGACCATGATCTTTTTCCATAGGAGGAACTATAGAAAGTGGTTTCTAATTGATTTTAATTAGATGGTGTATACAATCGATTATAATAAGTTGCTGAGTTTTTATAAAATTCTCATTAAACAATTTAAATTAAAATCCCATAATTCAAAAGCAAGCAAATAGAAAAAAACTGCCACGTGTCATCTCTCGGGTTATTTTGTTGGTTCGGTAAATCTGTAGTCCGCGAAAAAGAGGAGCACAAAAAAAAAATCACAGTCCGTCGCTCTCCTCTAATCTTTTTTATCCGCTAGGGTTTTGAAGCAAGGTTTCTCGCGATTTTCTCGAGTATCGCCCATGGCGAAACCAAGTCGTGGCCGTCGTTCCCCTTCCGTGTCTGGCTCATCATCTCGTTCCAGTTCCAGATCTCGTTCCCGCTCCGGTTCTAGTCCCTCCAGGTCTCTTTCCCGCTCCCGCTCCCGCTCCCGGTCTAGATCGCTCTCTTCATCCTCATCTCCTTCCCGGAGCGTCAGTTCTGGGAGTCGCAGTCCTCCTCCTCGTGGAAAGAGGTTAGGGTTTCTTTCAAACAATTACCAATTTTCGAATTGGATTTGTGTAATTTGGCTTTCATTCTTCTTGGTTCGTCGTCGTTGGAACAAGTTTGTAACTGACTTCTTCTTCAGCTTGAATTTGAATTGATGTTCTGATATATCTTCTTGTGTAGTCCTGCTGGACCTGCTAGGCGAGGTCGCTCTCCTCCTCCTCCTCCTCCACAATCTAAAAGAGCATCTTCACCTTCTAAGTAATATCTGACTCGTTACACATATATTCTAGTGTTTATGCTTTCGTCAATTTTGCTGACTTTACAATCTATTATGCTTTCAGGAAAGCTGTTCAAGAATCTCTTGTTCTTTATGTTGATTCTCTTAGCAGGAATGTGAATGAAGGCCATCTCAAAGAAATATTTGGTATGGTGATTTCTCTTTTCTGTGTTTCTTCTGCTTCTTCTCATTTTATTACATGATAACTGAGTACACCAGAGCTCTAATGTCATCAGTAGTATATACGTCATTACGATCATCACTGGTATTTTTTCTTGCTTGTGTTGGCTAAATGTTTAAGTCTTATAACACATGGCTTGTTTTCATGTTATTAGGCAACTTTGGTGAAGTTATACACGTCGAAATTGCCATAGATCGATCTGTAAGTTGCTATATCATTACCCTCTGTTGTCCACTTGTTGAAATCTGCTCATAACTCCTCTGAATATTAACAGGTTAATCTTCCAAAAGGACATGCTTATGTTGAGTTCAAGGCAAGAGCTGATGCTGAGAAAGCACAGCTGTTCATGGATGGTGTATGTCTCTTTCCAAATATGAAATGCACTGTCCTTGACATGTTGGCCAAGAAGATTTATGCATGTGTTATTTTTTTGTTTACTGAACGCAGGGCCAAATTGATGGAAAGGTTGTTAAAGCAACGTTCACACTACCACCTCGTCAGAAAGTATCTTCACCGCCTAAACCTGTCTCAACTGCACCAAAAAGAGATGCTCCTAAATCTGATAATGCTGGTGCTGACACTGAAAAAGATGGGCCCAGGCGCCCAAGAGAGAGTATGTCTATGTTTTATATTTTGGTTATTTGTTACTGATGTAGTCTATTCTTTATGTTGTGTTATTTATTATCATCAATATGTGCTTAGCATCTCCTCAACGGAAAACAGGACTTTCTCCGAGAAGGCGATCACCTCTACCTAGGAGAGGCTTATCACCTAGGAGATTTCCTGATTCTCCCCATCGCCGGAGGCCGGGCTCTCCTATCCGTCGTCGCGGTGATACACCGCCCAGGCGCAGGCCAGCATCACCATCTAGAGGCCGTTCTCCATCTTCTCCGCCTCCAAGACGAAATAGATCTCCTCCAAGGTTAGTTGTGGCACCATCTGTTTTGTCTGGTGTTTTCAGAATCGGTAGCTCACCTTTCATTTGTCAGCAGGGGATCCCCTAGAAGAATCCGTGGCAGTCCTGTTCGAAGACGGTCTCCTCCTCCTATGAGACGAAGGTATGTGTATTTAGTACCCGAATTACACCCTTAGTAATCGTATGTTAGGAATTACAGCTTTAGAGAATATAATGTTGAATTAATTAGACCTGGAAAAATGTGTCAGTTTTATATATGTTTTGTATTGGGCTTGTTTCAGGTCTCCACCTCCAAGGAGACTACGCAGTCCACCCAGAAGATCTCCAATCCGCAGGCGTAGCCGATCCCCAATTCGTAGGCCTGGTCGCTCTCGTTCAAGGTCCATCTCACCCCGCAGGTATGTTATAACTCATTTAAAATTTTTGCTAGGGTTATCTTTGGTATCTCCTGGGCTTTATTTTGTTGCAGATGCATAGCTAAGATAGTATATGTAATGATATTAATTCATAACAAGTTTGTAAGTCTTTCTTAGTTCATGAGTATACCCCAAGATCCTACTCTGTCTTATCCTTATATGTAGGTTTGTGACATACCAGCTCCATGTGACGTTGATAGCAAATATGATTAAGTTGTAGACCAATGTGGAGTTAGTTGATGATGTAATTTTGTCTTTAACTGTAAGCAGGGGACGAGGTCCAGCTGGGAGACGTGGGAGGTCATCTTCTTACTCTAGTTCGCCAAGTCCCAGAAGGGTAAGGGCTTCTTGCAGATCCCTGTTTAGCTATAAAAATGTTGATGCCTTGGTGAGTTATATGTGTTTTGACTTTCTATCTTGTGTGCATTATTAAACCTTTACAGATTCCTAGGAAGATTTCAAGGAGCCGCAGTCCTAGGAGGTAAACACTTTCTATTGTCTTAAAACTAATCCTTTTCTTAAACTGGAAACACTTTAGTCTGTCGAATTGATTAGCTGAAGAAGTTCCACGCTTGAGTTATGTGTAGTAAAGTTTAGGTTACTCCAATTCCTGATAAAAGACGTACCTTAAACATCTGGAACCTACACTTTCTTAGAATTGTTGTGTGGATATTTTTTGCGTTGAAGTCTAATAAAAGAAAATGGGTTGTTGTTGGGTATGTATAGGCCACTGAGAGGAAAAAGAAGCAGCAGTAACAGCAGCAGCAGCAGTTCACCGCCACCACCACCTCCACCTCGCAAAACTTAAGATAATAAAAAAATGTTCAAAAAAAAAAAAAACTTGAGTCTTCATGTAGCTCTCTTTCTCCATCTTTATCTTTATCATACAGTGACCAGATGAGAGTTGTGGCTTTTGTAGTGTTTGGATGTTTTAATCTTCTTTTGTGGATCTCCCCATTAGATGCAATGATATTTGACTTAATAGCTCCTTCACAACCTTTTTTAAAAAAAAATGAAAGAGAAAGAAATCCATACAAAGACTGGTGATCCAAACTTCAATCACCCATCTATGTAAAGTAAAATATTTTAAAATTGTTGAATGTAAGATGTCATAGAAAGCGGAAACCATTGGTCTTGTCAAGCCCTGTTCCAGCTGATGCGTTTAAACTATAGACAGGTTACATTCTGTGTAGACTCAGCAACATTATATCGATATCTTGAAAAGGCTGCAAAACAGAGTCATCCTCCCTCTGGAAATAAGGAGATTCAACGCTATCTCGATGATATCCTTGGGCTGTCTAATGGGGTTTATCAGTTCAAGTATATACCTCGTTCAGCTAACTCCTTGGCTGATTCATTAGCAAAAGAAGCTAGGCTTAAAAAATCCCCTTTTGTTGTATCTTGGACTTGTTAAATATGTATTAAATCCAAATTAAGGGTTCTCAGCTGCACAAGAAGAATTTTGCATCAAGCCAGTTTTCCTATATGCATGCGTCTCAACGAGATTGCACAAACTTTTATTTAAAACGAAAAATAGAGTTTTCAAGATCGTCTACTTCACAGTACATACCACTCAAAAGAAGAAAAAAATCCTTAAACTTGATTGTGAATGGGTATAACTAAGAATCTTAAGGAGTTACAAAGCTAACAACTTTACGGTACTCTGCAAGTGCCCATATGGGGAAGATGTTTCTGTAGGTAACGTAGTTTAGAAAAACAGTTCTTCATGAACACTCCTGTCATTTCCTGCACAACAGAGGAACAACAACTATGTTTTAATAATCTAAATATACACACCATTCTCGCATCTTATATGTATTGAATGTTTGGAAGAGAGTATACCTGTTGAGGATAATCTCCGTTTTCTAATTGTAAATTGATGATTAGTTTCGCAGCACGGTGAAGAGGCATTGGATCTCTCTCAGCTTGTCCCGTGTGAATCAGACCCATCATTGCCCAGGCGGTTTGCAACAAGTTTGATCTTTCTCCTTCTAACGCTACGTATCTCTGCATTTCCAAGATGATTTAAGAGTTTCGACTTTCCAGACTTAAGCTGATTGAATTGATAACAGAGACATTACCTTTTCAGAGCAAGACAGATAGCTTTCTCCCCAACCTCCATTGGTGTTTTGCCAAAGAATTGTCATATGTTTTACCAACTACTGCTACACCTTCAAGAGCAAACCATGTTGCATATGTGTAGCAGACTCCCCAACTTCCATACCTGTCAATTGGAAACAAAACACTTGTTACCTATCCTAGCCCAATTTTTTTATTTTTTTTTTCAAAACATCCCATTTATATTCGTAATTTGTATAAAAAATCATAATTTTGAGCTTAAATTCTTGTTTTAATGTGTTTAATGTAATTTTAAAAACGATACTGTATTACATAAATTTTTTAATTATAATGGACTAATATGTTTTTAAAACATTAAATAGCCCTAAAACTAATCCCGATTAATTTCCGTTTAATCTCCGATTTTCTTGATAGGCGTTAGGCCCACCCTTACCGCCCGACTAGCGCCTAGCGATTTTTTGAACACG